ATACAATTGGGTCGAGGTCGGACAGTAGCGGTCGAGGTCGGACAGTATCGGTCGAGGTTGGACAGGAGCGGTCGAGATCAGAAAGAAGCGGTCGAGGTCGTACAATTGGGTCGAGGTCAGAGAGAAGCGGTCGAGGTCGTACAATCACGTCGAGGTCAGACAGGAGCGGTCGAGGTCAGACTGAAGCGGTCGAGGTCGTTCAATTGGGTCGAGGTCAGACAGGAGAGGTCATGTCCCAAGCAATTGTTTGGTCACTAGATATATATATTATGTCTTTATTATCGTATGGTAATATCTTTGTTCGTTAAAGCTAAGCTAAGATCATGGAGTACTATGGTAGATATCAGTGTATCCTGTTTTGACAGTCCATAGAGATATACTCTGTCAAGTCCATAGTGATATAACACAGGGGGGGGGGGGTTTCCTGTTTCTGATCTACTCTTCAAACCCTTTCACCCCTCTGCCCGTATTCTGTTTACTTCTCTTCTACCAAGGGAACCCCCAGAGCTACTCTAAGCCGAATCCCCACGTCACTTGGTCTTAGCCGTTTTGACTGGCTAAGATTCTACAGCCTCACGACGTGGTACTAGACTTATAGCAAACTCAAGAGTCTCCTTCTGCTGCCACCACCAGACCTTTAACACGAAGCGCAATAAACGGGGTCTGGACCGATTAAGCTCTCAATAAACCTTGGGGTTTGATCCCCAGTTATTTGGAATAGGAGGGAAGAATCTACGTTAAGTGTGGGGAAGTATAGCAAACAAAGGGATAACTGAATTCTTACTCTTTGTGAGGCTTGCGGCCCAACTAAACTCAGCCTCGTGGAGACCACGTGACAAGGACATGTCACATGTGGAAATAATGAAATGCAAATTACATCTAATTGGTTTATTTTAATAAAAGCTAAACAAAATCTAAATAAAAGCCCTCTCTATAGTTAACACTCCCTAGAGGCATGATATGAACTAATTCCCTGTACAAAACTACAGCAGACTCTACCTTTGACTGCAACCAGCTAGGTGTAATGCTGATCGTGGGGAGAAGTGGAGATGGGGGACCTCTCCCAGTTGTTGACCAGTCCACACTGTGTCTCCCTCACTCTGCCTGCCTCACAGCTGGTCAGAGCTAAGGGTATTCATATGCCAGGCTCACTAAGTTTACTAGCAGGGGTTTAAGTTGAACAACTAATCTCTGTTGCACTGAACAACCCAGATGGTTGAACTCTTTTAAACTGAAGGTAATTTCACAGGCATCTTAGGGAAAGGCTATTTCCAATTACGAAACGGCTATTTGACCTTTGAGAATTACTAAATGTGGAAGGCTTTGATGACCCGTGACCGTGGGGTCGTCAAGGTCGCTCCGCGCCAAGGGTTAGTCCCGGCTAGTGACATCACTGATGGTGACTTACTCAGTATTCCGACAACTGAGGATACTCTTGAGACTTTAAACAGGAATATTATTGAATACAATTTTAATGAAGACTTGAATTTCTCTAAATTACTGAATTCTGTAAAATAATTCATTATACGCTGCTTAAGACAAAGACGCCGGCCATTTTGTGACCTAAACCGCTAATCCTAGAAGAGATACTCCGTGACGTCGGGTCAGGTCACTCCGCTTGACTCCAAACTTTCCAACCCCATAGTCTATGAGAAACCATACTGAATAATTCCTACAACAACCTAGTTTGTTACAGTGACTTACAGTCTGTCAAGTCCAAAGGGATTCTGAGTTCATACCCAGACTGTCTTAGAGAAAATGATGTTCAGAGAGCCATTAAAGTTTGTGATAGCCTCACATATCTAACTGTGGTGAAGAGCACAATTGTTATTTTAAGGCCATGTACCATGTATAGTGTAAATAACAATTATAGTATGTCTATAATTTTTTGCTCCTGTATGTGCATAGACAAGTAAACTGATTGTCTTTTTTACATAGTTTCCCATTACCCCGAGACAAACTACCTAATGTGTAGTGCTGTTACCATTAAAATGGAGGAACTTAGCACACTATGAGCATTGCTTGTACCATTACAAAAACAATGGGGGTCTGTGTGAGACATCATTACACAACTGCGGCATATATCAGTTTTGGTCTCACAAATACAATGAATAAGTTTCTTTAGCATTTCTCCATCCATATAACTAGACGCGATTCTGAGATTTGCTAGTATGGCATAGGCTCTATGGAACCGTTGCTCCTTCTTTGTGTTACATCTGACCTCTTAAAGAAATTGTCCAGATCAACATCTTCCAAAATGTTCTTTTTTTTTTTAATTTCAATGAGATCTGCCTTGTCATGCCTGGTTTGCAGTATTGTTAGCCCTGTGGCCCTCAACAGTTCTTGATACGTGAGTTGACTGAGCTCTGGAATGATTTCTGTTGTCTAGTATTGCACCTTTCCCAGAGTAGCTATGTTTTTCTGAAGATGGGGTCTCTATGCTTGGATACAGCATTTCAAATGGGGCGGACCTGACATTTATACAGTGTAATCACTACCTTCTTTTCCTTAAAGTCGAGAGTACGCTTGATTATTCTAAGTGTTTGGCTAGTTTTTTTGACTGCTGCTTCTAGTTGTTATCAACTTTCAGTGAGTAGTGGATTTTGACTCCAAGGTCCTTTCCTTCATCAATCTGCTGTAATGTAATGTTATTAATTTGGTAGTTGTGGCCCACATAAGGAATGCATTAAATAGTGATGTGGTAGAGGCTGACTCCATACCCAGTTTCAAATGTAGATTTGGTATGCCCAATTGGCAAAGGAATCTGTACACTAGTTGATTGACAGTTAAGAGGCGGGACCAAAGAACCAGAGCTCAACCCCCGCAAGCACAACTAGATGAGTACATGCAGGGTATTACATTTGTCGATATTAAAAGCATTTGTCAGTCTTTTGACCATTTGTGGAGTTCATGTAGGCTTCAGCTATGTAAGCTATGTAAGGCTTCAATATCATTATCGTTTCGCACTTTACCTAAAATCTTTGTGTCATCTGCAAATTTGATGATGTGGTTAGTAATATTCTTATTTATGTCATTGTTGTATATGACAAAATGGGTTGGCCCCAAAATTGACCCTTGCAGTACCCCCACTTACCACATTTCTCCAATCAGATTCATTCCCCTTTAGCACGACCGTTTGTTTTGTTTTGTTTTGTTTTAACCATTGATTTATCCATTCTAGTATTCTACCATTTATTCCATGTATCTGTAATTTCCTTGCCAGTCTTTCATATGGTATTTTTTCACAGGCTTTAGCAAAATCTGTGCATATTATATCAACCGGAAGTCCTTTGTCTGAGAAGCTGGTTACCGTTTCCACAAATGTGAGCACGTTCATCAGGCAGGATCTATTTTTCACAAACCCATCTTGTGTCGATTTAACAAGGCTGTTCATTGTTAGATGGTGAATGATTCCCTCTCTTAGGATTCTCTCCATGAGCATGCAGATGTGTGATGTTAAGCTGATCGAACGGTAGTTCTCTACTGAACTCTTTCTGCCCTCTTTGAAAATAGGAGTGACATTTGCATATTTCCAATCTAAGGGGACTATCACTTGGTCCAGAGATTTTGCGAAAAGTAATTTCAGCGGAAAGCATGGTTCTTCTGTCAATTCCGTTATGACTGTGGACTGGATTCCATCCACACCAGGGGCTTTTAAGACTTTTAGTTTGTCAATGTTCTTCCTGATTATGTCGCATGCTATGATTATTACACATAGAAATCACAATAGCGTGATGCATCAAATGAGCAAATCCACAAGGGCCGTAACGAGGATTCGAACCTACGTCCGAGAGCATCCCAGACGCTGCCTTAATCGACTGAACTACGGCATGGTATAAGAATTGCAACCAGAAATTCTACGGAATTTACTTGGATCCTGCAGCCCTTCCGAGACACAAACCAGGGATTTACACAACTCTCCCCATGCACTCGAGCTATGTCAATAGGCCGTTCTACCTCTTCGCCCTTACTTCATTACACACAGAAATCACAATAGCGTGATGCATCAAATGAGCAAATCTACAAGGGCCGTGACGAGGATTCGAACTTACGTCCGAGTAATCTACGAAGAGAGGATTAAGGAAGCGTCTGGGATGCTCTCGGACGTAGGTTCGAATCCTCGTCACGGCCCTTGTGGATTTGATCATCCACAACCTTACCTTACACAATAAACTGCTGAAGTGATCCACTCTACAACCCAGCAAGAATCATACATATATCAAAGAATTTATTTATTTATTTATTTATGCATATACAAGAATGTACATAAGGAATGTGAGGATACAAATATGGTAATTACAGTCTTGTAAAGCCACTAGCACGCGCAGCATTTCGGGCAGAATGTAACAAATACTGGTACTGTGGGAAGTCTCGTGCCTGGTACTGGGGGACGTCTCGTGCCTGGTACTGTGAGACGTCTCGTGCCTGGTACTGGGGGACGTCTCGTGCCTGATACTGTGAGACGTCTCGTGCATGGTACTGTGGGAAGTCTCGTGCCTGGTACTGTGAGACGTCTCGTGCCTGGTACTGTGAGACGTCTCGTGCCTGGTACTGGGGGACGTCTCGTGCCTGATACTGTGAGACGTCTCGTGCATGGTACTGTGGGAAGTCTCGTGCCTGGTACTGTGAGACGTCTCGTGCCTGGTACTGGGGGACGTCTCGTGCCTCATACTGGGGGACGTCTCGTGCCTGGTACTGTGGGACGTCTCGTGCATGGTACTGTGGGACGTCTCGTGCCTGATACTGTGGGACGTCTCGTGCCTGGTACTGTGGGACGTCTCGTGCCTGGTACTGGGGGACGTCTCGTGCCTGGTACTGTGGGACGTCTCGAGCCTGGTACTGTGGGACGTCTCGTGCCTGGTACTGGGGGACGTCTCGTGCATGGTACTGGGGGACGTCTCGTGCCTGGTACTGTGGGACATCTCGTGCCTGGTACTGGGGGAAGTCTCGTGCCTGGTACTGTGAGACGTCTCGTGCCTGGTACTGGGGGACGTCTCGTGCCTCATACTGGGGGACGTCTCGTGCCTGGTACTGTGGGACGTCTCGTGCATGGTACTGTGGGACGTCTCGTGCCTGATACTGTGGGACGTCTCGTGCCTGGTACTGTGGGACGTCTCGTGCCTGGTACTGGGGGACGTCTCGTGCCTGGTACTGTGGGACGTCTCGAGCCTGGTACTGTGGGACGTCTCGTGCCTGGTACTGGGGGACGTCTCGTGCATGGTACTGGGGGACGTCTCGTGCCTGATACTGTGGGACATCTCGTGCCTGGTACTGGGGGACGTCTCGTGCATGGTACTGGGGGACGTCTCGTGCATGGTACTGGGGGACATCTCGTGCCTGGTACTGGGGGACGTCTCGTGCCTGATACTGTGGGACATCTCGTGCCTGGTACTGGGGGACGTCTCGTGCATGGTACTGGGGGACGTCTCGTGCATGGTACTGGGGGACGTCTCGTGCATGGTACTGGGGGACGTCTCGTGCATGGTACTAGGGGACGTCTCGTGCATGGTACTGGGGGACGTCTCGTGCCTGGTACTGGGGGACGTCTCGTGCCTGGTACTGGGGGACGTCTCGTGCCTGGTACTGGGGGACGTCTCGTGCCTGGTACTGGGTGACGTCTCGTACCTGGTACTGGGGGAGGTCTCGTGCCTGGTACTGGGGGACGTCTCGTGCCTGGTACTGGGTGACGTCTCGTGCATGGTACTGGGGGACGTCTCGTGCCTGGTACTGGGGGACGTCTCGTGCCTGGTACTGGGGGACGTCTCGTGCCTGGTACTGGGGGACGTCTCGTACCTGGTGCTGGGATATGTCTCGTGCCTGGTACTAGGGGACGTCTCGTGCCTGGTACTGGGGGACGTCTCGTGCCTGGTACTGGGGGACGTCTCGTGCCTGGTACTGGGGGACGTCTCGTACCTGATACTGGGATATGTCTCGTGCCTGGTACTGGGGGACGTCTCGTGTCTAGTACTGGTGGACGTCTCGTGCCTGGTACTGGGGGACTTCTCGTGCCTTTTTCTGGGTGACGTCTCGTGCCTGTTACTGGGTGACGTCTCGTACCTGGTACTGGGATATGTCTCGTGCCTGGTACTGGGGGACGTCTCGTGTCTAGTACTGGTGGACGTCTCGTGCCTGGTACTGGGTGACGTCTCGTGCCTGGTACTGGGTGACGCCTCGTGCCTGGTACTGTGTGACGCCTCGTGCCTGGTACTGGGGGACGTCTCGTACCTGGTTCTGTGTGACGTCTCGTGCCTGGTACTGTGCGACGTCTCGTGCCTGGTACTGGGGGACGTCTCGTGCCTGGTACTGGGTGACGCCTCGTGCCTGGTACTGTGTGACGCCTCGTGCCTGGTACTGGGGGACGTCTCGTACCTGGTTCTGTGTGACGTCTCGTGCCTGGTACTGTGCGACGTCTCGTGCCTGGTACTGGGGGACGTCTCGTGCCTGGTACTGTGCGACGTCTCGTGCCTGGTACTGGGGGACGTCTCGTGCCTGGTACTGTGCGACGTCTCGTGCCTGGTACTGGGGGACGTCTCTTGCCTGGTACTGGGGGACGTCTCGTGCCTGGTACTGGGGGACGTCTCGTGCCTGGTACTGAGGGACGTCTCGTGCTTGGTACTGGGTGACGTCTCGTGCCTGGTACTGGGGGACGTTTCGAGCCTGGTACTGGGGGACGTTTCGTGCCTGGTACTGTGGAACGTCTCGTGCCTGGTACTGGGGGACGTCTCGTGCCTGGTACTGGGGGACGTCTCGTGCCTGGTACTGGGTGACGTCTCGTGCCTGGTACTGGGGGACGTCTCGTGCCTGGTACTGGGGGACGTCTCGTGCCTGGTACTGTGGGACATCTCGTGCTTGATGCTGGGTGACGTCTCGTGCCTGGTACTGGGAGACGTCTCGTGCCTGGTACTGGGGGACGTCTCGTGCCTGGTACTGGAGGACATCTCGTGCCTGGTACTGGGTGATGTCTCGGGTACTGGTTTGCGTCACTAGCAAGATAGTGGGTGAAGCGTACTGGGAAATCAGATTAAGGTCTGCGTTTCATCATGATTATAATCATAATTGGTGTTCTCACGCCGAGGCTATTTTTGTGATATTGAGCATTTATATATTCCTAATATACTTATACGCAAACTTAATGCGAATTAAGCAGATAAGTAAACCAGAAAATCTAATTAACAAAGGTGTCCCCGAATTAGAAAAAAGAATGCTTTTCTCGTCCCGGCAAATTCTTCAGTTATACCATAATAGGAAATTGGTAAACACCAAATAAATTGGGTGAGAAAGTGAGAGAGAGGTGTTGTTTGCGTGGCGAGAGAGAGAGATAGTGAGGTGAGTCAGGTGGCGGTTCCCACCGCGGCGCCAAGGATGGTCTGCCCGCCGCCATTGTTGTTAGACACACCAGCGTAAACACGGAGGCTGACGCCGTTGCCTTATCGCCCACACCTGTCCTACTCTCACCCCACACACCCACACACACAACGGGTTGCGTGCATTCTACACCCTTTGCCACTCTCTATAACTCGGCTTCGCCCGTGTACGAACTGTACACAAAGATTCGTGTATACGCAACGCATCTTTGTACGTTTGTTTTTGACGTAACCTTGCCTGTGTATCGGTAGTTAAAACGTGATGCATATTATGTTAATTAATAAATCGCGTAAATGCGTCTACGGCCGCACTTACGCTATATATATTTATTGTAGCTAGCCTATGGTTTGATAATTTTTCAAGATGATGCATGAACTCCTGTTGTTTGTCATTATACATGGACCCCAGTTGTTTATCATTATACATGGACCCCAGTGGTTTATCATTATATATGGACCACAGTTGTTTATCATTATACACGAACCCCAAGTTGTTTATCATTATACATGGACCCCAGTTGTTTATCATTGTACATAAAACCAGTTGTTTGTCATTATTCATGGACCCCAGTTGTTTATCATTATACACGCACCCTAAGTTGTTTATCTTTATACATGAACCCCAGTTGTTTATCATTATACATGGACCCCTGTTGTCATTATACATGCACCTTAGTTGTTTATCATTATACATGCACCTTAGTTGTTTATCATTATACATGCACCTTAGTTGTTTATCATTATACATGGACTCCAATTGTTGTCAAGTATGCATGAGCCTCCAGGTGCTTCACATTATACATGGACCCCAGTTGTTTGTCATTATACATGGACCCAATTGCTTATCATTATACACGGACCCCAGTTGCCTCTCATGCTCCATGGACACCAGTTGCTTCTCATTATACTCGGACCCCCATTTTTGTCATTATACAGTTATCTCAACTTCTTTTCATCTTTCAATGACTCAAACAGTTTCTCATTACATTAAATAATAGTTATTAATAGTTAACTATTATACAATGATTACCATAAAACGTTTTGTAATTACTCATATCACCAAATTACTCCTCATTATACATGGCTCCAACTTTTCTCGTTATATTAAAAACGCAGCATTTTATCTGTGACTTGTAAAGATAATGTATTATCATTCTTGCATGTCAAGGATAATGCTACTATGTATGTGTCATTATACAAGGACCCCAAGCCGTGTATTAATGTACAAGTAATCTCATTGTTTCTTATCCTAACCTGTTTCTCACTACACAACACCACAATTATTATTCACTATGTTCTCATTATACATGGGGCATTATCTTTTTTCATTATACAAGGTCGTTAGGTGTTATTCATTATTGCTCAGACCCCCTTTCTCTTTTACATACAATCTATTATTAAACAGTGATTATTATGACCAATCGATCATTATTTTAACCAATCTATCTCTTGTTATGACCCATCTGTTTCTTAATTAACCATCTGTCTGTTATTATAGCCTATTTATCTCTTATTATAACATATATCTCTAATTATAACCCATCTGTCTCATATTATAACCCACCAGTTTATTATTATAACCAATTTGTCTCTTGCTATAGCCCCATGTGTCTCATTATAATACATTTGTCTCATCGTATAACCCACCTGCATCTTATTATAACCTTTGTCTCTTATAACCCATCTATCTCTTATTATAATCTTTCTGTCTGTTATAATTCTATAAACAAGAAGTAATGTGAATTAGAGAGTATAATGTGTGTGTTGTGACGTACCAGTAAAGGTAGGCGGGTGGGTACTGACGCAGGAGCTGAGAGTTAGGTACGGGAAGGTGCTCTCTCCTGGCTGGTTGACTTTGGTCTGGTCGCTGAGGAGACGCTGCACCCCTTATATAGCTTCCCATGGCAACTGTCATCTCGACGCCTCCTCTGCGAACTCTTTCTTTTTTTCTCGAATAAACAATTTACATTTCTGGTATGTCATGATGTGTGAATCACATGCGGGCTACGATTTTGTATTGTAATATATTATTTTGTCTTATAAATGCATGATGCGAACAATGACACACACACACACACATACACGCACACAGATTCACACACAAATACAATATCAGACAGGCATACAGACACACACACAAACGTAAGAACATGCGAATAAAGACGAATTAAGAAAAAATGAACATTATTGGCCCATACGTGGCAGCTATTTATATCGACGCAACCTCATTCACACATGCGTCTAACTTAACCTTGAAACAATTTAATGATCCCACGTCTGTTATGTTACACAGTAATTGGTTCCACGAATCAACATCCCTGTTTCCAAGTCAATATTTAGCGAGTTCTTTTCTGAATCTAAACTTCAATTCCTGGAACAAACTCTTTGTCTATGCGGAACTGTTGATTTCGCGTGGACTACGGCGACCAAAACTGAACGAAACAGTTGACCGATGGTTGGACACTTCAACAGTCATTATAATAATGATAATGTTTATACAAATGAATGCGCATACAAAGAACATAAGAGTATTGTACAATTGTAGGAACAGGAGTTACTCATATCGTGATAACAAAAACAACATTGTGTCAGTTGAACTGTTAGAACACATACGAAATGGAACCAGCGAGTCTAAATGGATTCAAAAAACAGCCACTCATATTAAAATGATGGGACTGCACGATGTATATACAGATGAAAGAGTACAGCATACAGCACAGAGTACAGCACTATCTGCACCTGGCAGATAGTACCTTTTGACATCCTGACCCCTGCATACCCCACCAAGAAACTAATCACAAACAACCCTCATGCTCAGCTTGCTGCTAAATTAAGCACCATAGAACACAGTCACAATATACAAGCTGAAAACAACATAGCACAGACCATATACACTGACGGATCACTCAATACAGCTACAGGGAGGGCAGGAAGTGCTGTTATTGCTCATCAGCCCGATGGCAGCACAATTCAAAGGAATATCCGAATTAGTAACTGGGCATCCACAATGCAAGTTGAGTTGGTAGCAATACTGTTAGCACTCAAAATTATTGACAACACTGAAGTACACAGCTTAATTATTTCCGATTCCCTTTCCTCACTACGAGCAATAAACAGTTTGCAATCAAGTAATATCGTGCTTGTCTTGGAAGTTGGACGTAGAATAGAATAAGAATACTTAGCAAGAGGGTAAATATAAAAATGTTGTGGATCCCTTCTCACATTGGCCTGCAGGAACATGACAAAGTTGACGCCCTTGCTAAGGTTGTAATAAATAAAGACAGTATTGAACGAAATCTTGAGTTATCAAATACGTCCCTTAAAAGTGTCATTAGACGAGAACTCCTGGATGGATTTGAAGAAAGTAGAACTGTGCAAACTGGAACTAGCAGGTCCATTGTTCATCATAATGAAATGTGTGAAGTAAAACATGTGTATGGGGCAAGTAACAAAATAAGTAGACTAACAGATGTTGTCACAGCTCGTATAAGGCTTGGCTACAAGTATCTCTGGCAGTTCGGCTTGTATAGGAATCTAGATGAAGTAAAGTGTAAAGTGTGTGGACAAAGACAGGGACACACACTCGAACATTACATCTTGGATTGTAGTAAAATTGAGCCATTTAGAGATAAATCTAAGCTCACTCTGTATGATATGGCAACCTATCTTATTACCATTGTGACGATAATCTCCTTCAAGAGATTGAGCCTGCTCTTCCCTCCAAAAATACGTCGATACAAATATATAAAACTACTATGGAAGAAATGTCCAACAACGACAACAACATCTCCAAGGTTTGCCAGAGAGCAAAACGTATGCAGCCAGGAACACCTGCTCCACCTCAAACCGCCAAACTACCTGTCTTGTCGCCGGCTCCTCGCTGATTGGCTGTAGGTCAAGCTGCAACTGCACTCCACCCACCATACTACTTGATGTCTGGGGCCGCCACGACCTCAGTCTTCAGAATATTCAGTGCTTTCATAAGGTTAACACGTCTTCTTGGTAGACTAAGCTGTGGCTTACGTGTACTAAGAGAGGTGATAGCTTAAAGCCAATATTCCTGCACCTCTCATTTGATTGTATATTGCACAGCTTGTTATTACTCACTTGTCTTAACGTAAATTTTCATTTTGTCATTTGATTATTCTTATTATTTTGATTGATTGATTTATACGAATTTGTATGTCCATTTTATTCATGTTTTGCTTTCTTTAACGTAATTAAAATTTCATTGTTAAAATTTACTTGTGTTTTGCGTGTCTTCTCCTTACCTTACCACAGACGAAGTTCCAGAATTTCTATTTTTTTTTTTGTTTCTATGTGACGAGGCCATACCCCTAGCTTTGAACAGCCGAACACCAACGCGTTACCGTCACACCATGGATAAATTACCTGAAATCCTTGCACTGTATCCATATTTCGCTTCCAGTAGATGAACGACATATGAGATGAAGAAACAAGTAGTGTATTGTGAAGACTAATAATAAACAGAAGCTACCCTATAACTATCTCCATTGGTCAAACTATTATGTATTAGGGATAAGACCTACTATTAATGGATAATGACTTACTGTAAATATATATCTCTTGAAATAGCACTTACTCTGTAACTAGCTGACATTGTAACTATAAGGTGTGAAGGATAAATGAAATTATTTATGTAATAATCTAAGATGAGGTCTGATAAAGACCTTTTGTGCCCTCTGTAATGCTTTTCTGCTACCGCTCACTGGATGGGTATGGGGTGCACAATAAACTAGCCGCCTCCGTCGGCAACAATCAATCAAATCATACTTATGAATCCTAGCTACACCATTCCTCCCCCCCTCCCCCCCACCCCCCCGTTCCATCCCAAATCCTTATCCTGACCCTTTCCAAGTGCTATATAGTCACAATGGGTTGGCGCTTTCCCCCTGCACATGGTAGCATTGTAGCTACTATTACGAACAGAGATTCGGAGCAAATCGGCCAAGTGTTTAGAGAGAGGCCTAGAGTTTAATTGGCTATGGGTTAGTCAGTAGACATAATATTACGGCAGTCGCAGAAGCTTAATGAAAATTGGAGGATGCCTTAAAGTTTTCAGAGATGCAGTAAGTACTTTCTCCCAAATCTGTTCAAAATTGTTACAGGGGCCATACAGCTGAGTGGACAGCGCTCGGGATTCGTAGTCCAAAGGTTCGGGTTCGATCCACAATGGCTGTGTCTCGGAGAGGCTGCAGGATCCAAGTAAGTTAGGTACAACTTCTGGTTTCAACTCTTTTGACCATGTCGTAGCTCAGTCGATTAAGGCAGCGTCTGGGATGATCCCGGACGTAGGTTCGAATCCTCGTCACGGCCCTTGTGGATTTGGTCATTGATGCATCACGCTATTGTGATTTCTATGTGTTATTGTAGCTTGACTCCATTGCATCTACATACAAGCTGATATCAATCCTGAACTAAATCTGCTGTCACAATTTTAAAATAACCAGCATATTAATCATCACTACTGCAGGTATTACACAACAAACCTTGCAAAAAAACTCCAAAATAACATTTGCCTATAATTTTTCAATCAAAATGTCAGCTCACTTGGTAAAAATTTTGATGATATAAATGCACTAAACTATCTATAATCTGGGTACTAAACTATCGTTCATTATTTTAACAGAAACCTGGCTAAGTAAAGACCATACCCAACTTTACAACTTAGCAGGGCATAAATCCATTCATAACTGTAGACCTAATAAAAAAGGAGGTGGCACAGCGATATATTACAAATATACCTTCATCTTCAATAGTGTCATTAGTGATAGAGACGACTACTGCGAATATACCTTTACTCAGTTCCCTTGAATCCTCCTTGACTATTTGAGCTATCTATATATTTCCCAATACTAATATAGCTGCATTCTCAGATAACCTAAGGAATCGTATCATAAACAGCAATCTCAACAAAAATCACATTATTCTAGGAGGAGACTTCAATATTGACCTATGTCAACAAAATAGTCCTCAAGTCGACTATTTCCTAAACAGCATGAACTCCTGTATGCTAATCCCCACAATAAGCAAACCCGAATCACTCAGACATCCGCTACTACCTTGGATCACTTAAGGACTAACATATTTAGCAGTCTCCGTGGTGTAGTGGTAAGACACTCGCCTGGCGTTCCGCGAGCGCTATGTCATGGGTTCGTATCCTGGCCGGGGAGGATTTACTGGGCGCAATTCCTTAACTGTAGCCTCTGTTTAACGCAACAGTAAAATGTGTACTTGGATGAAAAAACGATTCTTCGCGGCAGGGGATCGTATTCCAGGGACCATAGGATTAAGGACTTGCCCGAAACGCTCCGCGTACTAGTGGCTGTACAAGAATGTAACAACTCTTGTATATATCTCGAAAAAAAAAGAAAAAAAAATATATCGGGGGGGGGGGGTTTGTTGTACAATGAAATTTGGTTATTTGAACTAACCTGATACTTTCTTACCGTCGAACAGAGACCTCAACCACTTCCTGACAGAACAAACAGCTGATCTCGGAAGCCACCTTCACGCTACCGTCGATCGACCAGCAATGGACACTGGAGTGCTTGCAATTATTTGGGAGATCACCCTGGTAAGCGTCTGGTTTTGGCAGAGGGGTTCAGCATCACCTTTATTAAAGGGGTACGGCTCACACTGCCTAGTTGTCATGAGTACACACCCGCTCTTGAGCTGCCGTGACTCCCCGCATTCTCCTTACTGTGGGATGATCTCTCAATCCCCCCTTAGTTAGTTATAGTCCACTATCACCCAAGTTATAGCCGTCTCTCTCTCTCTCTCTCTCTCTCTCTCTCTCTCTCTCTCTCTCTCTCTCTCTCTCTCTCTCTCTCTCAATCTCTCTCT